TGATTACATAATAAGTTCCCAATAATCTTCTCAACGTAATATCCTGTGACCTGGACACACACCATCCATCGTTGGCTTGTGTTTAAAGTGTCAGCTGCACTCTCGCAATCGAAGCCCTGGCGCGCACAAAGCCCAATTCGTAAAACTCCGTGCCAAAATTCGGAATTTCATGCCCTTCGAGGTCATATCCTTCCTTTACATCATCTTTTCAACTTGTCCTAATCCCTCTCACGTCCATCCCAAAAAACAGTCTCCCAGATTTTTGCGCCACGCTTTGCTTCCTCCGTTGGGTATAAATATCGGCGTGGGCGTGTATTTGGTGACCGGCTGAGGCCAGAGAAGGTCCAAGACTGTTGTGGTCATTGGGATGAGGATGTACTTGGTCGTACTTGTAGGCTTGATGAGACTTAGGTAGGAATCGATTTCGTTGGGAGTGAAAAAACGACGTGGTGTAGTATTTTGAATCATTACTTCGTGGGCCAACTTCTTTGGTATTGCGAAATTTGACTGAACTTGGCTCTGAGAGAATATTTCACTCTCAGGTTCGTAGAGGACACCGCGTACAGATATTCAGTCTTGCCTTCCAACTAGCTAATTTACAGTACTCTATTGGACCCAATTTAGCTAAATGTGATCCCTACACCAGATGAAACTTAGATACTTTCCAATGTTTAACAAGTGATCTGGGGTACAGTGGTAACGGTTGGAGACCGATACTATGGCTGCTGTGTTGCTCCACGTTAGATCCAGGACGTGTCCGTCCCTGTGCGTTGGCTCTCCAACAATGCTGACTACATACATGTTGTGAGCTGTTTCCCAGTCCATGGTCTGGCTACATTTGCCGTACTGGTTTGTTGTTAGCGGCTGCCAATGCTATGACATGGAATTGAAATCACCTCCAACAACTACTAGTCCTCCGAGTTCCCACCGAATTAGGGACTCCAAGGTTCCACCAGTGCGCGGGGCAAGATATACGTTTACAAAGATCAGGCTGCACATCTTTACAAAACAGTTGCCTAATGTCGGGGTTGATGACGTCGGAAAACATAGAGTCGCAAGAATGCCTCTCCGTGTGAAAGTAGTTGCGATGGGCAAAACTTCTATTCCTCCGAATAGTATTTGTGGCTATTGTAGCCAGGGTAACTTTTTGTTATAAAGCCCCCCTCTTTCTTTCTTGTTCATGGCTCCTGTACCATGACTACACATGCACCGGTATCCCATGCCTGCTGCAATGCTTTATCTGTATTTTCCCCACCACTTCTGACATTTATTTAGTGGAAGAGGAGGATGTTACTTTTGTTTGTTTGTATTTATAAGGTCCTAAGCTAATGCTCCAAGTCCGCTATGAGTACAAGAACGGTGGGACTGACGGAGGTCACTGCGTACAGGCCCGCCTCGTTCAAACCGCGTGAAAACACTATCTAAATTTTAGCTGGTTTAGACCTAACTAACTCTAATAGAAAAATAAATTACCAAAATAAAATTCAATTTAGTGATGCAGCATCAGCACTTCTTGCCCCGACTCCTTTCTTTTCATGATTTTCATCATGAATATTATTCTTCGTCCATACTGAGAGCTGTGCACAAGGTCACAGGTTGGCTTTTGAAGCAGCCAGTTTCCTGCGCAAAGTGGGAGTGTGTTTTGTTTATCTTTTTGTGCTTTTGTTGAGGGGCTTCCTAACATTAACACTGCATTGTTGAATCCTGAGTAGTGACAGTTTCAACTGCCTTGCCCTTCTTTTCCGAGTACGCTAGAGCAGCGTGATAATCACGATGTCCGCGTTCTCTGATGATATATAATTCAGTAGGGGTACAAGGCAGAATTATCCCGTTTTGTCTTCTTGGCTGGGCCATGCAGCCACTACCATTTGATTGGAAGGGTCCCGCGCAATTTGAGCACTTTAGCACCTTGGCCTGGCACTCTGATATCCCATGGGTTCCCCCACATCTTCCACATTGTTGGCTCCGGATGCAGGAACGTGTTGTGTGGAATCCCCAGCAACGTTGGCATTGCTCAATGGGTCGTCGGTATGAATAGGAGATTGCCGGCCCGCTCTCGTCAAAGAGACGAAACTTTGTATTCGCTGGTTTCTATCGGAAATGAATAATCCAGCTCGTTGAGTACTGCAAAAGTATTATTTCTGCGTGCCTTATCTAGTTTAGTATGGCGCCACATACTGCCTTGCACTAGTTCTTCACCATGTCTTTGGTGACTGGGATGCTACCTTCAAGGGTCCTGATCTACAATAGTATATGAGTTACTATCCATAAAGTCCATTTAGATGCTGCCTCAATCACAGTGTTGTCTTTTTGTAGGGAAGGTACAATTCTCATCATTGTATCTCTCAATGCGTCTGATGCGTACTCGAGAGCGATCCCCAAATTGACTGGGTACATAGAGGTCATAGCTGAGCCTGCTTTCCCAGCCTTGTCGGTTATAATCTTCTTGATCGTAACTGGCGATAGCTTGTGCCAGTGGTGATGTCTCCCCAATCGAAGGAACAGGCTTTTATCTTCTTTTGAGGTTGTCTGTGTATTGGGGCGGCTTGTTGGAGTAGGTCTTCTCGGAACTTGCACCATTGGCGGAATCGGACGCTTTACTGCTTTGCCGACTACTGTCGCCCAGGTTGAGCTTGTGTCTTGAGGTTCAGGTGGTAGGGTGTAGCTTTGATCCTCAACAGCTGTATTGTTCCTGGGCGCGACTGGATTGGGAGTGCTTGTCATGGTTGGGGGCTTCTTGTAAAGTTAGGTGCTTCTGCCTGATCTACAGCGAAGTCAGTGATAACAGGCGAGATATTTTCCATCAAAGTCGTGACGACCGCTGCTGCTTGCTTCTCTCCTTTGCTCTTAGCCCAGGAGTCGATTAGTTTAAGAAATTCTTGGGCTATGTCGAAACTGTGTTTTCTTTGTTGTTCTGATTTTTGCATTGCATTCACGATGCCAAGCCGGCTTTGGTGAAGTTGCCCTCCTGGATTGGAGGTCGTTGTCCATGACAATGCAACAGCTGGAGATTCTTGTAAAAAAAGGGTGAAGAGAGATACAATTTGGGACGGGTCGTAAGAAAAAATGATGGGCTCATAGTCATAGACTCATTAGGGACTTAGATTTAATTCTATTCTTTTTTGGGGAAAATAAGCCAGACCGCTTACGTTCGGACATATTGTACTTTTTTACCTTATCTATTTTTTGTTATTCCCCTGCAAAACAAAGCCATGCGCGTTAGTGGCTATGAGTCTGTCAAGATCACGTACCCCTATGTCGCCTCTTAGGTATAGGGCGTAAGTTTGATACTAATAGCATCCAAATCGAATCAATAAGCATGAGGTTGAACTCTTGCCGCGTTAACCGCGCGCCGTTACAAAAGTAGATGAATGCACGAAACTAAATTGGTGGATGCGTCGTACAACTTTTTATTCGTGGCTAGAGATGGAAACCTTGCGAACATCAAACTGAATCTACACCAGCGCTAGCGCTGATGTTCATTTAGAGCGTTCTTGAAGCGTGCAAGAATAACATCTCCCAACGATTGTGATTCAAATTAGTGGTGCGAGAAATAAGCAGGCCCCGGGAACACTACTTCATGGATAATAACTCGAAATCTCAGGCCCGTGTCATCGTCACACGGTTCATGTCCCATCAGCCAGAGAACTAGAATTCGATTGACAAAGTGGTGAACTTAATGAGACTCATGGAACCATGTATTTTATATGAGAACGGGTCTAGCACCCTGTTCGTGATCGATATTCCTGCTTCTATTGAACGAGTACAAGGGTTCCACTATTCGACGCAGTCAAGGCTTCTCTCCGTTGAACCGCTCCAACGACCCTATCCGAGCACCGAACCGATATCTTTGCAGAAACGCTCCAAATTCGCTGAGGTGCCATTGCAAGAGCTTCTGCTGCAGAAGCATTTGGAGCTCGCTATGTGCGAGCTTAAAGCCAGAAGCGAGGTAAAGTGGTGTCTAGGCCGCGAAACGAGACATCAAATTGAGACAAATATAAAGGATGCAAAAGTAGATGGAACGAAGACTGCAGACCTCTACAGCCCACCTTCAAGCCAAATTGTTGGTACAGTGCAGGATGCAGGGTGTTCAACACTCTTCCTCCAGAATTATCACACGACATCAACTCGAATTTCATGGGCAGGGAATTATTTTCGGCTTCCCCCTCATTCTACAGTTTTACTAGGTCCTCTGACTGAGACCATCGATATATTTGTAAAGCAAGCTCCGATGTTCAACCTGATAACCATCGATCCGCCCTGGCCGAATCGATCTGCTAGGCGTAAGGCTGATTATCAAATTTCTTACAGCCTTAGTGAAATCAAAACGCTTCTACTTTCTATACCGTTGGCTGCACACTGTGCAGATAATAGTTTAGTTGCAGTATGGGTGACAAACAAGCCGGCCATTCGCTCCCTACTCCTCAGCCTTTTCGACCAGTGGGATCTTTCTCTAGTAGAAGAATGGGTTTGGCTCAAGATAACCGCTCAGGGGGAACCCATGTGTAAACTCACGGGTCTATGGCGTAAGCCATACGAAGTACTTCTCATCGGCTGCAAAAATGTAGTCCCCAAAAAGTGTTTACAGGTGAAAAGAAGGGTCATACTGGGTGTAGCGGACCTGCATTCACGAAAGCCTAACATGAATCAGATCTTGGAGAAATCCTTCGGCCTGGAGCCTGGCGAGTACAACGGACTTGAGATATTCGCGAGAAACTTATCTGCAGGATGGTGGGGATGGGGGAATGAAGTATTAAAATTCCAGGAAGAAAAGTACTGGATAAATTTAGAGAAGGTGAGTGATTTAAAGACCGATCAAAAAGTTCAGGAGAAGACATGATCCAGCCCGTTGCTCATGTGTCGCATTATTAGTACTCACTTTGACAAACCCAAAAGAATACACATTGAACACCAACTCCCTATCTTGAAGTCCCGTAAATTTTGTTGCAAGAAGTAGAAATGTGATGGTGAAAGAGATCGGATTTCTGTTGATGGGATGGTCACCTATTACTCAAATCCTCTTTCAAGTCGATATCTGCCTCAACCTCGACTTCTTCCAAGTTATCTTTAGAGATTAACATTTCCTCCTTCTGTCTTTGAGATTGTTTTATTAGCTCTCTGGCTTGTTGTGCAAGGCTTTCTCTTTCTTTTGAGGGGTTCTGGCGAGCAGATGGTTGTCTGTCGTTTTGGAATTCTTCTTGTTCCTTCTCTGATGCTAGGAAAGTCTCGTGATCCCATCTATAGATTAATCTTGTCAGCCATAATTCAATTTCAGCGCGCTTTGCGCGCAACACTGTGGTCGACGTACTGCGATAGATCCCCCATTTTGGGCCAGACGAACCCCTTTTCCATCTCGATGGTCATACGCTTGACCGATCTTGGTCTGAATGGCTCTCTACGAGGTCGCAGCGCTCCAGGGCGATCGAATTGGAGCTTCTGTTGTATGATAAATGATCGCACATCAAGACATCGAATGTTGTACATATTCCAAAGATAGTCACGCATGTCGAGCTTGTTAAATTTTAGTGGAACAACAAAGGATGCAAATGTTGGCGGGCTATGGGGCGTATTGAGAAGGGTGATTGTAAAGTCAGGTCTATAGTTTTGTAGATTAGCTATGGCTTAGATCCCTTTAATGGCAGTCTAATCGTCGAATAATTGAGTGTATTGATTAGTTGGGCCTGGTGATTAAAATACATACAAGTATACTTTTTTGTTTCCAAGCTTTGGTGGCTTTCGCACCAGCGCAGATAGATGGGAAGCCATTGATTTTCATCGATTGAAAAAGAGCTAAGTTGTATATTTTATATGAGCTAACATGTACCTCGAAAGGCTGGAAGAGATAATTGTTCGACTACGGGAGGAACATAGGCAAATAATGACTTTGCTACCTTAGCGTGTTGTTCAAGGATTACGCGCTTAAATGCAAAACGCCCTCAGAAATTTATTGGTCAGTAGATAATTCTAGCAGTGTTTTGAGCTCATCACGATCTATTTTGATATCACAAATCTGCACATTCTTTGACACATTCTAATAAGAAGGACGAAGGCTGAACAACTGCCAGTAGTGTCTTCTACGAATCTGGGGTGAGATATCCCCCAAAGCCGAGATTCAGTCACGAACAAGTGTGGGATGAATGTTATTTGATGGATTTTCGGCTTGAAGGAGTTGTGCTCGGTATTTCGGTCGAAAATTCAGTCTACAGAGGTTTCACAACGACAAGAAAGTCGAACAAAGACTCATTAGTACCGACATACGATTCACGAATGCACCTAGGTCTGTCCGCGGGCAGTATTCAAAAATCCGACATCTCTCGAACTACTTATTTATTTGCGACAAAGCATTTATCAGCCGATTCTACACCTACGACCCATCTCCATACTCGTCACATCACCTACATACGCACGCCATAATGAGGAAAGTCATGATGGAAACAGGACATGTACAAAGGATGAAAAAAAGAGAAGATACATCGAGGGGATCACACTAATCCCCAATGACGACAACAACCTATTGGTACGACATGAGGGTGCAAGGCTAGTGCAACGATGAGATCTGGGACTATATCTATATCTTGGAGTCAACGAGAACGTCAAGAACTCGGGAGCTTCATGGCCGAGGCTAAGGAGAAATTTGCACTGCGGTGTATACACGGCTGGTTTCCGGACGGTCGAGCTTGGTATGATTCAACACATAGGTGAAGTCTGAGGTGCTTCGGTCATTTAGACAGGACGAGCTTTATTTTGATTCAAGTTAACCTGATCCAGCCCGGCCCCTCGTGCTCGACCTCAAAATCAAAGAATTCTCGGCTGTTTCTTCGTCTCGAAAAGGAACATACATGGCGTGCTCTCTCGCCGGCTGGCGTGAGGGAAGCCGTAACCAAATTGCTGGAGATACCATCCTCCAATATTGAACATGTGTACCGTGTTCCCAACGGCTTCGCTATTCAAGCCAAAAACGAAGAAGCACGCTAGCTTCTTTTAAACTCTGCCGAATTATTCAGCAGGGGTGAAGCTATGTTGGAGACAGCCTCGGATCTGACTGCCCTACGAATTGCAACGGTCCCAGTTGCCATATACACACTGCTTGGAAAGAGTAAAGTCGCTGAGGGAATGTTGGCAGACTAGATCACTCGAACCACCAAGGCAGTTCCGCTCCGCGTCCGCCCACACGGAAAGGGGAGAGTAGGAGCTCCCTACCAAACATGGATTGCTTATTTTGAGAGAGCGTCTGTACTTCGGCCGGGTTTCCAACTTTTTGACGACTCTGGAATTGCAGTTCGCCACCAGCCTAAGCAGGCAATAAATCAGTGCAAGCGATGCCTGCAATTCCACGGCACTCGAGGATGCTTTCGCTCCCCAGCTTGCTGGAACTGCACATCAACCATGCACTCCTCCGCAGAGTGTAAGGTATATACAAAGTGTCGCAACTGTGGGGGCCCGCACTGATCAGATAGTCAAGGCTGTCTAGCTCGCCCTACAAGGTCTGGATCGGCATTCAAAAAGAATCTTGAGATGATCAGACAGGCGAGCCAGCGGGAATTTGCTGCAGTTATCCGAGCAAAATCAGCTGTTAGACGCGCTGAAGCCACAGTTTCAGCAGCCTCCGAAAGTGCAAAAAAAGCTCAGACGAGCTTCAAGTCCAGCAATTGCTTTGAAGTGCTGATGACCGATCCTTCGCCATCTGGAACTCTGGCTCTAGATGCGATTAATCGGGAAGAAAATTTGCAAAGGGCGCCCTACGTGCACCCTTTCGTCTCCCTCCTACCTTAAATTTCATATCAATAAATGTAGGAAGGGGAGGCCCGACACAGGATATCGCGCTCGCCCGAGCTTTTGAGCCAGGAGCCGATGTATTGCTCGTACAGGAACCTCTGTGGAGAAAACAGAACAAATCAACGAAAACTCATCCGGGATATGATTGTCATATTCCCCATGGTGAGGATCAGTCTAGGTCGATGACGGTGACCTACACTCGGAAAAACGGCAGTGAAATGATTGCAGAACAGATTTTTCCCTGTGCTACGCCTACGGCGGATAATTGATGGGTCGTGGTCAATGGAATCACGTTCTTCAATGTCTACAAGGCTCCCAATAACCTACAGGCTGTGCAGCATCTCATTCACTGGGATCCACTGCCAAATTCTGTTGCAGCGGGGGATTTCAACTCAGTATACTGGGCCTGGAAACCGAGCACCACGCGAATCCATGGACAAGGGAAAGAAATCGATAGATGGGTACAACAACACCATCTAACCTGTCTCATAATTGGGGAGCCTACATAAGGCTGATAACACCTTAGACTTAGTCTGGACGAACATCAATGGCGCTCGAGCATGGGTGGGTCGAAGTGAATGTGTAACTAGCGATTATATTTCTATCCGGGGATAAATACCTATCCGAGCTGCAAGAATGAAACCAAGGATCTCCAAGCTCCGAGTTACGAAGAAAAATCTTCCCAAATTTTTTGACTTCACTGCCAGATGGATCAAGCCGCTTCCAGCCTTAGACACTGTCGAAAAATTTGAAGAATACTCCCATGAACTCTGTATCCAGATTAACGCCGCTATTAACGCGACTGGAACCCGAGCCCGAACAAGCAGCGGAAAATCAGCACCTTGGTGTATCCCGGCATGCAAGGTAGTACGCGCCTAATATCGAGCGGCCTTATCCTCTCCCTAGTGGGGTGCCTGCGCGAAAAAGCTTCGATCAGTTCTCTGAGCTGCAAAAAAATAACACCAGACGCAACAGGTCGAAGCGATGAAGTCGCCAAGCGATGTTTTTAAGATGCTGAGAATGGCCAGTCCACGACAAGCTAGCATTTCACCACCACTCAATCACAATGGAATCCTCATCTCGGACCCATTAGAGCGAGCCACAGTACTTCGCGATGCGCTTCTTGCCCGACACCAAGCGTCAGACGACCTGCCACTATGTACTGCGACAAGTAGCAAACGAATCCCGTGGATGGAATATATCACCGAGGCAGAAGTCAGATTCTGCACAATTGGCAGCAGTAACACGGCCCCAGGAGCAGGTGGAATATCAGTTGATCTTCTAGCAGCTTGTTGGAACACTGTAGGACCGCACGTCGCTCAACTCTTCCGGGCCTGCGTGAGGATCGGCACTCATCCATCCTGCTTCAAACTGGCTGAAGTCGTTCTTGTCTCGAAGCCTAATCGAGACCCAACGACAGTCAAAGGATGGAGGCCTATCGCCCTTCTTTCTTGCCTAGGTAAAGGGCTAGAAAGATTCATGGCTAAGCTTTTGGCGCACCTTGCTGTCATCTTTGATGTAACGGGACAGCAGCAATTTGGCGCGCTCCCAAAACGTTCAGCAATTGACCTCGTCTCCTATGTGGTACACGAAATTGAAGAGGCAAGCTCGCAAAAATGGACGGCTACATTTGTTACCCTGGACGTTCAAGGTGCTTTCGACGCAGTTCTCCACAACCGACTGGTGAGAAGGATGCAGGAACAAGGATGGCCAGACTCGATACTCAAGTGGACGGCCTCTTTTCTAGCACAACAAATGGTCCAAGTGCTTAACTCTAGAGGGATCACCGCTCAGCGACAGCTGAGCTGTGGAGTCCCCCAGGGCTCACCGATATCCCCACTCCTATTCCTTCTTTACATGGCAGAGCCTATGCGAAGCGGGAATCCAGGCTTGAGGTTCAGCTACGCCGACGACTTCGGAATCATCGGATTTGGCCGCACTATTACGGAATCCGCCGCAGCGGCCTAGACTGAAGCAGATCATCTCTTGGATTGGGCGGGAAAAAATGTGGTTGCTATTGACACGAGTAATTCTGAAGTAATTCAATTTCCCGGACGGTGCCGCGAGCCCACGACAGGAATCTATGTCAATGGAACCCTTATCAAGCCGGCTGAATATATTCGCTGGTTAGGTGTCCACCTAGATCCCTGGCTGACCTTCAACCATCACGTAACGACATAGTGCGGTAAAGCCTTGAGAGTTGCAGAGAACCTGCGCCGCTTCAACGCTACTCTACGAGGAGCTGCTCCAGGAGCGCTTATCAGAGCAGTCGATATGTGCGTTGTTCCTATTGCAACATTTGGTGCGGAAATCTGGTGGCCTGGTCTCAAACGCCCAACGAGAAAAAGCATGACAACCCCACCAACGGCACACCTATTTGGCATGATCTACAAGGCTGTCTTGATGGGACTTCGAGCTGCTCTCCCGGTAATGAGGACAACAGCGAACGTTGTACTGCATAGAGAAGGAGGAATTCCACCAGGCAAAATAATTCTGGAGGGTTATCGACTTCGGCTCTCAGTCAGGCTCAAAACCCTGGATGACCGCCATCCGCTGAGGACTCGTGCCGCTGTGTGCCCAAATATAGGCACGCGGAAATACAAAAAGAGAAATCGAGGGACTTCGGTTCCTGAAGTAATAATGTCACGAGTCCAGCGGGCGTACCGATAATTACCAAAAGCAGAGCACGCGGAACCACTGCCGCCTACATCCTACTTACCGAAAGCAGGATCTAAAGAAGAGCAAATTGAGATCTATTGACGATGGATCAATCAAGTGTCGAAGTTGGAAATTTGTGCCTACTCGGATGGCTCATCGGAAGGGAATGGACGCTCTGCGTGGGGTTTCGTTCTGAAGAGAGACGGGCAGACTTTGCTCACAGGAAGTGCTATCAGGCATGGGGGGGAGGCCTTAGATGCGGAAATCACCGGGGCAAGGAAGGCTCTTGAAGCAGCATTGGGACTCCAGAGCGCGACACAACGAGTCTACCT